ACTATCTGGTGCGGGGGGCAGCAGCAGAAAGACCTCCCTCTCCCCAGCGACACCTTCCAGCTCGTCCTGGGGGACTCTGAGACGTTCTCAGGCCAGAGGGGATACATAATCCCTCCAGCGACTCCTGGATTTTCTCCAAAGTACGGTGCGCAGCGCTGTGTCTTCTGAATAATAAAGCACTGGAGAAATCAAAGAACATGATCCTCACAGTGCTGCCTGCTTTGTCCAGATGACAGTGGGTTTGTTGAAGCAGGTGTATGATGGCGTCGTCAACTCCAACTCCATGACGATAAGCAAACTGCTGGGGGTCCTGATGTGTGCTCACGGGCCAGATGTGGCCCACGGGCCGCCAGTTGAATAGCCCTGCTGTAGAGTAATCAAATCCATGTTTAAAGTGTCTAAGTGGAATCACTCTTTAGTCATTTCCTGAATTGAAATCTGTGATCTTAAACCAGCTTTGTCTCCTGTTGCTTGTTTTTAGGTGTTTTCTTAATAAAAGTGTTTAAACATGTTTACCTTTTACCTGCTGAGAGGTGTTAGAAAACTTTGTAGCTGTGCTGCTGCATTATGATTAGTGCTATTTTTATAACATGCCCTACAGATGACTCACTCTGTCCCCAGCATCGGTGACCCCGTTCTATGATTCACCGTTTACTTAAACAATTGATTAGGAGGTCCTTTATTTTTCTTGTTATGATCTGTTACAAACTTCCTCTTGATAACCTGACACCTACTGTCTTTTAACCATTACATCTTTATCCTTTTCCCTCTTCTGTTTTTTTTATTTTAATTTTAATTTTTTTTTTGTGCCCTGGAGAGTTTTCTTTTCTGTCTCTTCATCTTTAGCTACTTCTGGTCAGATGTGCCAAGATTCAAAATAAAAAATATTGTGTGTGGGAGGGAGTGAGAGGAAATAAAGGAGTGGAGGCCATACCTCCATTATTGATCATATCATGCATGTGTTATCACACATGCACAAAAAATTAATGAATACAGAAAATGCCGACTAGAAATTATTTTTTCCACTTCACTTTGGCGCCCCCTGTAGAGTGCAGCACCCCAATGCGCCACATATGGTGCATACCCTTTTTTTGCACCACTGCTGTGAGGTGCTACCCTAACTTTAAATTGATAAAGTCAAAGATGAGGATGTGAAATAAACATCCTATTTTCTTCCATTCCTCCAGCACTGCCCACCTCCATCACCACCTACGAGACGTGCCAGACTTATGAGCGACCGATTGCCTTCACCTCTCGTTCTCGCAAGCTTTGGATCCAGTTTAAGTCCAATGAAGGAAACAGTGGAAAAGGCTTCCAAGTTCCATATGTCACGTATGATGGTGAGTTTGTCTCAACTTTAACACAAGTGACTGTGATATTTTATTATTTCCATTTTTATGTAGCAGATTTTATTATATTAAGTACTTGCACACTTCAAAAAGAAAAAATAAGTAGGTCCTCTGATGGGTTCTTCTTTAGTGAAACATTTCGTCTCTCGTCCAAGAGACTTCTTCTGTCTGATGAGTTTCAGGTGAACCCAGAATTCGGTGTGAAACAGGGCCCCAACGATAACCAACACAAAGAGGGAAAAAACAAAAACAAGGGGACTTTTAGCCCCACCTGCATTCACTACATGCACGACACGACACCAAAGAACCACAGCATCCAAACTAATAAGTCAGGTGATGGGGCACACCCTCTATGAACAATAGAGCTGATTAAGCCTATTGTTAAAGGAGACCAATTATGGGTCCTAGAAATGTTTATGGTATGTCTGTGGGCTATCCAGACC